TTTAATAGGAAGTCATATAAAAGTGGTATAAATAAGTAAACTACTGGAGGGAACAATTATATGGAAATCTCAGAAAGCTGACCCTATTCCTTTCCCAATTAGCAGTATATAATGACATTTTTTGTCTGTGTTACAAATACCAAAGTAGGTTACAGGAACACTGCATCAGAGATTAAATGAAAGAATGGTACAAAGTGAATTAATATGACAGGAAAAAAGATTCTGGTTTTAAATGCATATGCACCCATACAGTTGCTATGATAATTAGCAGTTAATTCAAGGTCAACTGATAGCAGCAGACAAGGAAGGCAAGCCAAAACAGAGTCCCTGAAAGGAGACTGCCCAAAAGGTAGTTTTTAACAGGGGCATGCAGAAGAATAGTGAAATCCAGCCCAAAGTTCTAAGAATGTAGTCAGAATTGTCAGCCAGTCCAGAGGTCAGAATTTCACAAGCAGAGTCCAAACAAACATCACACAAGAGCCAGAGATCAGATGGCTAATTTCAACAAAGGAATATGAATCAGGGCTGTCTCTTAAATCAGTCTGCAGCCACCTGTCTTCAATCCCTTGCTTGTCAAGCAGTCTCATAGAATATCTCTGCTCTGCTCTTTGTTCTACTAGCTGAGTACCAGGTGTATCATCATTATCTGATTGTTCCAGTTGTGGTACCTGTGTGTGATCAGTCTCAGGATATTCTTGGCTTTTTGTTTCCTGATGCTAACATTCGACAAGTTCTGCTGCAGATTCTTCACATTCAGAATCAGTTTAATAGAAGTTTTTTATTTATTTATTTTGTGTATGGCATCTATAGAAGTCATGCAATCACTGATATACAAATTTAGTTTAAATAAAGCATCAGCAAATAAGGATAGATTCAATAAGAGCCCATCAATATATTATGTATATATGTACTATATCTGGATTGCAGAAATTTCCAAATTATGTATCACTAGGAAGAAGGAAAAGGAAGATTTTATGGATGCAGAAAATTATTGCTCCAGTAGAGTCAATTAGTTCTGCTTTTGAAACAGGACATTTCAGTAATTGATTAAGTTTTCAGAGTCTGAATTTATTTTAATGAATAGGTATAATATAAGTGGTACTTGGCTCAATAGTAGTAACTTTGAGAGGGATCTTGGAGTCCTAGTGAACAATCACTTAAATATGAGCCAGCAGTGTGCTGCAGCTGCCCAAAAAAAAATCAACACAGTGCTAGGCTGCATTAATAGAGGGATAGAATCAAAATCACATAAGGTGTTAATAGCACTTTACAATGCCTCGGTAAGGCCACACATGGAATACTGCATCCAATTTTGGTCACCACAGTGTAAAAAGATATTGAGACCCTAGAAAGAGTACAGAGAAAAGCAACAAAGATGATTAGGGGACTGGAGGCTAAAACATATAAAGAATGGTTGTTGGAATTGGGTAAGTCTAGTTTAATGAAGAGGAGGACAAGGGGGGACATGATAGCAGTCTTCCAATATCTTGGGGGTTGCCACAAAGAAGAGGGAGTCAAGCTATTCTCCAAAGCACCTGAAGGCAAGACAAGAAGCAATGGATGGAAACTAACCAAAGAGAGAAGCAACTTAGAACTAAGGAGAAATTTCCTGACAGTTAGAACAATTAATCAGTGGAACAACCTGCCTCCAGAAGTTGTGAATGCTCCAACACTGGAAGTTTTTAAGAAGAGACTGGGCAACCATTTGTCTGAAATTGTATAGGGTTTCTTGCCTGAGCGGACTACAAGACCTCCAAGGTCCATTCCAACATCATCATCATCATCATCATCATCATCATCATCATCATCATCATCATCATCATCATCATCACTATTATTATTATTATTATTATTATTATTATTATTATTATTATTATTATTATTATTATTATTATATGTGGCAGAAAAATAAAACAGAATAATTACAAAATTCTAAATATGCGAGATTCATTGTATGAATCCATCAGAAACTATCCAGAAGTACAGTATAGTTATGCTGAATGTGGAGAAAATTCTAAAAGTTTTTTCATGAAACTTTATTAAAATATTAAAAGATAAATAACTGTACAAAAAGATGATTGAACTAAACTGATTTACTTACCAAGTTTTTTCCTAGTCTAAAAGATTAGGATTTTTAGCACAGATCCTTAAGGGCAAAGAATATATTGCATTGTTTTTAAGAAATATATATCTTCTTATGCTCTTATTCATACATAAATTGATGCTTCACTTTGTACCCATTTATATAACCTCATTCAGATATTCTTATAACCTAACATCTGTACAGAGATAAAAAAAAGAGTGATGGAGCTCTAGGTGATGATGGATCTATAGTGTTTCTCCCATACTTTCTATTTGCAGAGAAAGTCTTAAATCCTAACCTTATTCAGATGTAGTTTCATTCCATAATCTAGGTAATCTAGATTCAGACTGCCCTAACACAGATGTCAGGGCCAGATTGAACAAGTTTTACTGTCAGCGCTGCTAACGTTGGATGACAACTGATAAAAATGCAGCCATTTTCTCTATTCCTTTAACATGCTTTCTTGCTTTTAGAAATCAGGTGCAGTGGGGAGGGAGTTGGGATGTAAGCTCAGCTAGCCATAATCATAATGCTACCGTGGGAAACCAAAGACAAGCTGATAACATTTTAGTGAGGTGAGGAGAAAGCCCAGAGCTTTACGTTAATTGGGGAATGTGATTCATGTCAGTTTATTGGAGGTAGAAATTGTACTTTGTTACTTTGTATCTGGGGGAAGAGAATTTAGTTTTTGGGTTCAACTATGTAGTACTGATACTTTGTATCCTGAATAAATGTTCTGTAAGGAAGAATTTTGCCTCAAAGTTCTTTTGATGGGTTTCATCTATTGAAACCATGACATTTACCTTCACACAGGACTAATAATAACTGAATAGAAGTTATGGTACAATCTTTCATTGATTTTTCAGTGCTTTAGACACTTCAAATTTTTCTGGTTTAGACACTAAGCTTATTCTTTTGATTATACTAGTAGAACACAATTATTCTACAATTTACCTCAGCAGTAAAAATATGCAAAATGGGAGGCTGTGCACTTCATGGGACTTTATAAGGTCTTATATTGCCTGCACATTCATCACAAGCTGCATCCAACCAACCAGTCAAGAATTTGGGGACAATAATACTGATATCTGGCAAATGGCAACCCCACCTACCTACATTAATAATACTTTAACAAGCCACTCCCTTGAGGCAGGAATGGAGGAAGGCAAGAATAAGGACAGTGATTTATTAAAGACTGATGCCAAGAAATACAGCCACAAAATACTGTTTTAAGTGGAACATATTTTACTTATTGTGTTTGTGTTCAAGGCAGGCTATTAAATAAATGATGGAATAAAAATAGAATGAAAAAAGATAAGTGAAATAAAAAATTTAATATTGCATCTAGAAAGTGGTTTTAGAAATCAGTGCCTATGTAAAAATGTGTCCTAAAGTAAGTCTGGTAACCTCTCTAAGCTGTTTCACTAAACAAAGAGTAACTATTAGCCTTGCCTCAGATAGAACCAAAGAAATTCTGAAGTAATGGAATTGCCATATGATATTACATCCTGGAATTCATATTACAGGCTTAAAACCACTGAAAATATGAATATCTACTTTGATGATTGTGGTTGTAAAGGACACACATTGCTCAAATAGAAGCACTAAGTAGCAATAAGATTACTGCCAAATTATGTTTTGTAACATTATTTAAATATTTTGTATTTGTGTGGTGCTTTTTGTCAGTTTTGATTCCTGGCAACAGCCTGGACATGATCCTGCAATATTTTTGACAGGAATTCAGAAGTGGTTTGCCATTGTTTCCTTCCTACGGTTGAGAAAGAGTGACTGACCCAAAATCACACAGGTTGCTTTTTAACCAAGGGAACAAAGAATTAGATCTCACAAGCTCCTGGTTTTTAGCATCATAACTTTAACCACTACACCAGGGGTAGACCTTGGCTCTTTTATGACTCGTGGACTTCAACTCCCAGAATTCCTAAGCCAGGATAGCTGGCTCAGGAATTCTGGGAGTTGAAGTCCATGAGTCATAAAAGAGCCAAAGTTGCCTACCCCTGCACTACACCAAACCAGTTCTCATTATTAAAAATTGCAATCATTAATGGAAGACAGATGGGTGACATATGTTTACAGAGTCAGCCAGATGATTAGACTAGATTTTCATTTTGTCCACCTACTGAACCCTTCCCAAGGATCTGGGATAGGCAGATGTTGTGGTTTGATAGTGTTTGATTATATTAAAGATATCATTGTAGATAAAGATATCAGCTTCTTTTTGCAATTGACTGCTGGTGATTTTGTCAATGTGATGCTATTTAAGTAGTATCCCAGCTGTTTTGGAATTAAAAAATCAAACTGAGTTTGAGTTAATTGATCTAGCAGTTTTTTCATTTGTACAACATGTTAAAAACTATCGGGCTTGGCTCAAAAATCTATCCTGTAAAAGGATCCCTGAGTGAAAATACTGCATACAAGATTACTGCTTTAATCATGAAAGATTTTGGGAATGGCATGGCCACAAATTTAAACTTATATTATTGTGCTTGTTGAATTCTATACTAGTCTTTTAAATTTAAAAGAGAAATTCAATCACCTGTGATGCAATGATATGTAAAATGCTTAGAAAAGCCTAACATAGCTAGCAACACTTCTAAGACGATTAACTGATTTCAATCATATATATGCTTGTTCCTTTTGCTGCCCTTAATGTACGAACTGCTAACAGAATTGGGACCACGATCCTTGTACAGTAATATCCTGTTATTATGGTTCTCCTCTTTCTATTCCTGTTGTTTTGCATTGTCATCTGCAATCTTTAAGTATGGCTGGAGCAATAATTAAGCCAGGTTAATATTTCTTTAATATTCATGTATAGATTTATATCTAGTAAAATATCATGTTTCTCAACCTTGATAATTTTTGTGTGGAATTCAACATCTAATATTCTTCAGCCAATATGGTTGAGAAGCACTATTTTAGATTACCTATGGAGCATTTTCCCCACATCATTATGGTAAATAATGAATCATTCATTCATTTTGAACTGTTCATCACACTTTATGATTTAAATGCTTTTTATTGCTGATGAAAGCTAGCAGAGACCATTTGGTTTCCACAGAAAAAGGGGTACTGCCTCTTTTTCAAACAAGGTCCATAGAACCCAAATAATTAAGATGATTGGAACACAACATACATTCCACAGTTTTTTCTGCCCTAGAGCAAAAATTAATTATAAAAATAAATAAAAAACCTTGCTGCTTGTTTGTATCATTTCACTCTGTGTAATAACAGCACTGTCCCTTAATAAATAGGAAATTATGAACAACATTTTTTTGATACTAATCAAGTATTATTTCATCTGCTTTTGCCCTTGCAGGATTTTGCTGAAAAAGAGAAGGCAGCAGAAAGGGCTTTGGAAGATGTGAAGGCTAACTTTTACTGTGAATTATGTGACAAGCAGTACCATAAACACCATGAATTTGACAACCACATCAATTCCTATGATCATGCACATAAGCAGGTAAACCTAAAAAGCCATGTCAAATATTTTGCTTTATTGCATCAATCCTGGCAAATCAGTCGTGTAATCAACTTGTAGGAGGTGATTACAGTGTATGTTCAAGGGCTGTTACATAACTTGTTATACTTAGACCAATTCATATAATCAGTTCAATAGTTCAGCCTAAAGGGAAATGACTTTTAATAAGTTTATCGTTTACTTTTATCATAGAGAATAAAATGCAGAACAGTAAAATAAATAAACAAACAAAATGTAATAAAACAAAAACATACATTCAACCGTAACCACAACACAAAAAGAAAAAAAATAGTGTACAAAAAAGGAGGAAAAAGTAGTCAATTAAATTTAACATTTAACATGTAGCGTCCACTCTGCCTGAGTGCTGAAAGAAAAGAAAAAAGCAATAAATTCTCCTCCTCTTTTAATGTGTGTGTGTGTGTGTGTGTGTGTGTATAAAAGAAAAAAGAAGACAATGCAGTCAATGGATTGAGCTAAACATTACATTAATCTTCAAATCCCTCTGTTAACCATATGTTATTATATTTAGCATGTAAAAAGTCCACAAACTGTTTTGAGTCTCTTATAAAGTTGTCTAGTCCATTATCCCTAATCAGCATGGTTAGTTTCACCATCTCTGCTAATTCAGTCAATTTCAAAATCCATTCTTCAACAGTTGGCATCTCTTTTTCTTTCCAGTGTTTGGCAAGTATAATCCTTACAGCCATCACCATGTGAAGAAATAGCACCCCAAATTATTTTTCAATTCACTTGTCCATCATACCTAAAAGAAAAGCTTCAGGTTTCATTAATATTTGTATATTAAATATTTTTGTATTGTCGTTGTTGTTTATCCAGTATGTTTTCACATATTTGTAAGGCCACCACATACGATAAAATAACTTGGATTTTGACTACATTTCCAGCACTTATTAGAAATGCCTTTATACATTGTTGCTAGTCTATCCGGGGTCAAGTACTAACGATACACCATTTTATAAAAGTTTTCTTTCAGACTATAATTTAATGTAAATTTTAGTCCCTTCATCTATACATTTTCTCATTTATCTAGCATTATATTATACCCACAATTTTTGCCTATTTTACCATACATTCTTTAATATATTCATATTCTAGATTCATGTTGAATAGCATTTATATACTTTAAAAATTGTCATCTTCAGAACATAAGTTAACACCCAATTCAGATTTAGTTCCTGTGAGAATAAACCTTTTTTTTATCAAGTTTAACTATTTCAAAAATTCTATAATAATTAAACCAATCATAAGCAAATTCTTCCCTTACTAGTTGTTCTCTTGTTTTTATCTTATATCCCTCCTTTTCGCATATCAATAAATCTCGATATGCCATCCATTTACATTCCAAAATTATCTCAGTTCTATGTAGTGCTTCATGCGGTAATAGCCAAAGTGGCACTTTATCAACTAATCTTCTTTTATACACGTGCAATTGATTATTAGTAACATGAATCTTAAAGCCAGGATTAACTTTTACTTTATCATACCATAGGTATGCATGTGAAATTACTGAGACTCCATATCATAGTAGAAATTTTTATTATAAAACAGAACAAGATTAGTTATAAACTTCTATTGTTCCCAGTCCAACCAATTTTGGAAATAAATTATGTAAAGGAGTTCAGGATAATGTCTAGTTGTCCTTCAGCAAAATAACTTTATAAACACTCAGCTGACAAGGATCACAGTTGGTTTACTGGGAAAAAGTAAGGCAGATCCATGCTTTCTATAACCAAAGTGGGATTGAAAAAAAACCCTCCAAAAACTATATTGACAATGTTTTCCCTTGTTATTCCTTCCAAATCAATGTAATTGGTTATGTAATTAGAATTATGTAATTAGAATTGCAACCCTCTCTGTACTTTTAACAGCACACATATAGGTAAAATCCCAACTCCAATGACATAATTCTCCATAGCCTGAATAAAATGGGATAAATTGAGCATCTGGGGAGGATAAGCTAACAACAACAACAACAAAATTGAGTTTGAAAGTGAGCTGAATCCGGGCAAGGGTTATAGAACAAAAAAGAATTCAAAGGAAAAAAATATCACTCAATGCACCCCTAGGAATAGGTAATCAGGCAACAGTAGGAAAGTTGCTAACTTCTTCGCTTCTTCCCAACCATGTGACCCAGAGCAGTGATTTTATTAAGTATTTGATGCATTTATTGCTGCAAAAAAGAGCTTCTTCTAATTATGAAAATGAGTTATGCTAGATTGATACTTCAACAGAAGAACCAAGATTTCTTCTAGTCGGTTGATTTAATTCCATCTACTGGCATCAGGTGATTTCAGATGACTTTGCAATGATCCATCAGCCATAAAAAAATCTTATTTTCTTTCCCGCTGGCTGCCTTTTTTTATGACCAAGGAGGTAAATTTAAAATAAAAATATAAAAACTCTAGGGACAGGTTATTATTTTTTTAAAAGAAAAAATGTATCTCTACTTAATTGATCCATAAAATATAAAATTATTTCAGATTCAAATTATATGAGTACAATCCTATAATCTCTCTTTCCTACAAAAAAAAAGCATATGTTTCCAATAGCAACTTTCTTTCTGTTAATCAGGATTGTTTGCTTCATATTGATCGAACTGAAGCATTGTCAGCCTTTCCTTCCATTTGCATATAATTTTAGGCCTCCCTACATAATATATAGACATATATTCTAGTACATTTCTCAAAAATAGTGGGTTTTTTTTTCCAAAATAGAAATGTCATATTGATGTATCGGTTGGTTTTTCTTGGTTGCTTTCCATCATAAAAGATCATGGTTAAAAGCAATAAAACTCTTTTTAATTTTAAAAGCTACATTTAATGCTATAAGAGAAAATGGCAGATTAGTAGTGAAAGAACAAATGGCCTATATTTTTAATCAGACAACATAAACCTCACGCAGAATAGGAGCACATGTTTTTTTCAATGCTGCTCTACAAGATAAAATAATAGCTTAACTAGCTCATCTATAGGGTGGAAGATTAAACATGAAAAAGATGTATTCAGTTATCCAATTCTACCAACCATTTAATAATTACCAAAGTTGCAAATGTGTAAATAGAGTAATGTTTAATTTGGTATAGTTGGCGACTTATTTGTCTTTATTGTAAATTATACTAAGGCATTAAAAGTTCCCATTAGATCCACCTTAGGTTTAAAATGACTGCACCCCTGGCATAGAGAAGGCTAAGTAACAGAGTTTATTAACAGATTGAAATTCATTTTTAAATCGAGCTTGAACAACAGAATTAGTATAGAAGTTCATGAGAAGAGAAGCAATTAAATGCACTTTTGCTTAACTTCTTTTAAAAAGTGTATTATTGTACAACGTCTTCTGAAATTGCATAAGTAACCTGCAGATGATATTTTTATGCTGCATTATAATCAGAGAAGGTAACAATCCATAGTTCTGCCGATTTTGTTCATAGCTTCTTTGTAGATAACAAGTTAAAGACCACCTTCAAATAAAAAAGTAGCATAAAGGATTTCTTCTCATCAACTAGAACACTGTACTTTTTAGCTAAATTGTACAGTTCAAGGCATTAATCAAAAACTGACTGAACTTGTGTTCTTGGGCAACACCTTATTTTGATTAACCAATCAGTAAGTGTTCCATGTAGATGTCATATAATTTATTAAGGTTAATTGGCTGAATGACAGGCAGTTTGATGTAGTGATTAAGGCACCAGGCTTAAAATAGGAGACAGTTCTAGTCCAATCTTAAGCACACAGCCAGCTTGAAGACTAGGGCCCTCAACCCTAGGAAGAGAGAGGTAAGCTACTTCTGAAAAATATAACCCAAAAGGCAACATGGATTCTTTCAGGCAATTACCTGTAGTCAAGACTGAATAATTTCACATACAGGTATTGCCCATTTCTGACAATTGTGAAGCATTCCTTAAACTGATTTCAATGGAAACTATGTTAAAGATTCTTTAAAGACATCATAACATTGCAAGAAGGAGAAATAGTTGTTCCTCTCATAAGTGATGCTTTGATTATGTGCTGTCAAATCAGTGTTGACTCTTACAAGGATAAGGCAACTGTGCCTTATTCTTCAGTTTTTTCTTGAACATTTTTTTTCAATTCCATGTGAAACTCTAACCTGCATTGGATGAGTCTAATGGGGTTTTTTGACAGCATATGAAATTGTAAATATTGTATGATAATTTGCACAATCTATGAAGTCATCTTTATTTGATATTGAGATAAAGAATGATCTTTTCCAGACTTGAGTCCCCTGGGTCAGTTTCCAGATTTGCAGCCATAGTTTTATTAAAACCCTTATGGATTCTTCTGTTGCTTTCTATATTTCCCTAGTCTTCCAACTTGGTAATAGCAGTCTTCTAATATCATCATAGTATTGCAAAAAGAGAGTATCTTCTAAGGTACCTTGGATATTCATATCTCTACTGAACAGAATTTTAGTTATACTCCTTCCACTTTATTTGATCTTTTTAAAATCAATTACTATTGTCCATTGCATCCTTTTGAATGCCAGTTCAAGATTTAAACCTCCTTCTGAGTTCTGAGAACTTCTGAAATTCTTTTTTTCCATGTGTGTTTCTATATTTTATAATTTTAGAGATGTTGTAAAATTGATTCTTGTGTCTTCTATTAGCTATCTTAAATTCCAATAAAGAAAATATTTGCAGCTCAGCATTGAAATTAGGAGCCTTGATGAACTTGATGGTTTTCTTACAGACGATTAGGTAACATCATCTGTGCTAGTAAGGAGTGGAGTTTGCTTTCAGTTTATATACTAGTGGCTTGCCTTGTCAGTGGGAGTGGGAATGGTCTTAGACATTCATTGATTGGGCTGTTTACTATTAGCGTCCCTGGCAGTTCCTTGGCTGGGGTATTGTCTACTTCCTGATTGTTGGTCTGATGTTAATTTTGGTTTTAATCTATGCTCACTTGGCTGGTGGGTAGGTTTTTTGGTCTTTTTGTTCCCTTTTGGGG